ATCAATACATCACTTGTCAAGAAGCGTGATCGGATGCAGTCATCTTCTCCATCTTTGACGGTGGTCGGCGGGCAAGTGATGTTCCGATTGTCTACTGATGAGGCGAGTTGCTGCCCATCCAGTTAAAAGCTAACCGTCCAATTGATCATCCCACTATGTCCCAGTGCGGGTGGGTTGATCTCCCCCGTTCACTCGATGGACGCATTCGATTTTTTCTCAATGGTCTGTTAAATGGGTTTCTTCCTATTTTACTTTTTTCAAAAAAAAGTGCGCATGAGCAGGGTTCGGTAAGGCAAAACCTTTGCCTGATACCCAGCTCGAAGGATGAGGGGGCTGCATTGCCCGACCTTGCCGAGTAGAAGCCCTAGTTATTTTGGGCTGGGCTAATACAGACTGGGCAGGGCGGGCTTTCTTTATTTAAATTTACAACTTGAGTTATGAAATTTAAATACTGTCGTATGTCTTAACAGATATTTATGTTTTAAGAATTTAACAATATTCATAATTTATTAAAAACAAGACAATAAAAAATTGTAATTAAAGCCTTAAAATCCAAATGATTTGCACCAATATCCACAAAGTTGAGAAAATAATGAAACATATAAAAAAAATACAAGCTATATTAACATATAATTTAATATAATTTATAGAGATCTATATATTATATTCAAATTAGTAAATCAGTATCATTTCATGATATATGAAGTAATATCAACATGAAAAAGTTAAAAGACAATTATAGTACACAACAAAATAATTTAGAAAAGTTAAAAAAGTGGTATTTTTAAAAAAAAAAACTAGAACTTTAAAAATGTAAAGTCTAATAATATAAGGATGTAATGTTCCTTTTGAGTAATGAAATATAATAAAATATACTCCTCCGGTCCTAAATATAAGACCCTTATACTAGTAAGGGTCTTATATTTAGGACCGGAGGAGTAGTATATTAATATTACAGTATATATATTATAATTGTGAAAAAATATATATTATAATATAAATAATTATATTTCGAGCAGCCAAATATAGGGCTGCATGCTATACTCGTGGCTCGGTCTTGTCTGAAAATGCCCATTTTTTCCTTGGGCTGTGTTTTTTTGGATCGGACAGGACAATTTTTTAGTGGGCTTGGACGTGCATATTGGGCTAATGAGCTCATGAACACCCCTGAAAAAAAAGGATTTCTTCCTATTATTCTATGTTCTGAATTTGCCTCACAACATTGGATATAATTTTTGCAATTTTCTCAATATTCCTTTATGGAGGATTCATTTTGTAAGGATTTCATTAGGCATCCCACAATTTTAAGTTGAAGTGGCTGCTTCTATAATTAAGGCTGCCATTATTTCTGGGCAAAGCTAGTGGTGCGCAAGCTTGCATTCAAAGTCAAGAGATACATGCGTAAAGGAAAGGCTAATAAGCAAAGTGGGAAGAAAGAAAGCCTAAGTGAATTTAATGTTTGCCATTTATTGTCTCCCAAAATAACTCAAACTTCTCTATTCTCTCCTTTTCTTCCTCCTTGGTCGGTGTACTGTCACCCCAATCCACAGTTCCATTCCCTTTCAATCACTCAACCCATAACTATTCTAAAGCTACAAAATTGACTCTTTTAACAACCCCTCAGGCTCTACAAAGTAGACACCCTTTCCCCAGTAGTCTTACTGAGCATTTTCCCCGGAAAGTTAGAGAGAAAATGGAGGAAGAAGATGTGAGGGTAGGAGCCAACAGGTACAGAGGAAGGCAAGCGATTGGAACGGCAGCTCAGAGCCAAGATGGAAGAGACTACAGAGAGCCACCTGCTGCGCCGTTGTTTGAAGTTGGTGAGCTATCTTCATGGTCTTTCTACAGAGCAGGCATTGCAGAGTTTGTGGCCAGTTTCTTGTTCCTCTACGTCACCGTTTTGACTATCATTGGGGTGGCTAAATCTTCCTCTAGGTGCTCCACTGTTGGCACTCAAGGCATTGCTTGGGCTTTTGGGGGCATGATCTTTGCTCTTGTCTACTCCACTGCTGGTATCTCAGGTAATCTTCATCAGAAAACGACCATTACAATGAACAATATTGTGTTTAAATGAAATAAGGGTCAGGGGTCATTTTTGTTTGTTTAAATGAGGTTATTAAATGGGACAATCTTTCTAAAGATTTGATTGTTGATAGAATATAATGACGTTGTGTGATCTATGTAGTCAACTTTATTTAATTAGATAAAGTTTATTGCTGTCACTGAAAAGGTTAAAAAAAAGTAATGTTTCCCTCTCTTTTAAAAAACTAACACTAACTTTAAAACTAATATTGACTCTTAACATTTTTAATAGGAAGGATGACATTGCTATTTTTTTAACATGTTAGAAAGGATATTGAGGGGGAAAAAAACTTTATCCATAGCTTTTTTGTGAACATTTCTAGGATAAAAGTGACTCTTAACCCATGAAATAACTCTGCAAAGTTTGGCTAAATGCATGATTTGTGGGTGCAGGAGGGCACATAAACCCAGCAGTAACATTTGGGCTGTTTCTAGCAAGGAAGGTGTCACTGACAAGGACATTGATGTACATAACAATGCAGTGCTTGGGTGCCATAGCCGGAGCCGCTGTGGTTAAGTCCTTCCAGCCACATACCTTTGAGAGACTAGGTGGTGCCGCCAACACTCTCACTTCTGGCTACTCTAAAACCGCAGGCCTTGAAGCTGAGATCCTTGGCACATTCGTTCTTGTTTATACTGTCTTCTCTGCTACTGATGCCAAGCGAAACGCCAGAGACTCCCATGTTCCTGTAAGCCATCAATCTATATCCATATTACAAGAAATTATTATTAACTGAAACTTGTTTAATTCTAACTGTATGAAATACTTATTATATATATGGTTTTGGATGGATTGCAGGTTTTGGCTCCACTGCCTATAGGGTTTGCTGTGTTTGTGGTGCATTTGGCTACCATTCCTGTGACAGGCACAGGTATTAACCCAGCTAGAAGTCTTGGTGCTGCTCTTATCTTCAACAAGCACCAAGCTTGGCATGATCATGTGAGTCTTCATATGCTTTGCTTTGGGTTTGATTTTGATTCTTTTTCAATTTTTAAAAGACCTGTTTATGTCATGGTGCAGTGGATCTTCTGGGTTGGGCCTCTGCTAGGGGCAGCTCTTGCAGCACTGTACCACCAGATAGTGATAAGGGCGATCCCTTTTAAGTCAAACTGATGCATCATGCAAGCAATATCCATAACCATAACTTCTTTCTGCAGTGTGAAGTTCTTTTGATTTCTGTTATATGTCTTCTACTGTACTGCGTACTGGGTTTCATTCTCTGTTTTAACATCTTGCCTCCACTTAGTAGTAATGGTGGGGATATAACTGCTTCTGCCATGTAATTATATAAGCTTGTCCCATTGAATAATAATCTTCAGATGATGATATGTGCATTATCTGTTTGCATTGGAACTTAATGATTCTTTTGATTGAATTGCCTACAATAAGGAAGTAGACTAAGCATTTATTTTATTTCTCAAAGAGGACAGTTGAAAGCGAGAAGAGGAAATAAGATCATAAAGTCAAGAGCATTATCCTATATAACCTACTTTTCTTGTAATGTTAGTCTGCCTAATAAAAGAGGAAGTAGAGATGTGAAGAGGAGCTTTCAATCTTTAACGTAACAAAGTGAATAAAAATGAATATAATTATAAGCTACTGCCTCTGTTCTTAATATTAGATCATAAATATAAAATCTCAATATTTCTTGTCTTTTATATTTATTATTTTTTTTGCAAATCAATTTATCTAACTTTAAAACAAAGAGATAATTTAACATCATAGTTTTTATAGGATTATTTTTGAAAGATAATGTTACGTTTGTTATAATTAATTTATTTACCTAATTTTTTAATTTACTCAAATTAGTCAACAGACTTTTATATTAACAATAAAATTATCCTTGTCATGAACTCATGATGAGCTAATTATTTTTGTGATCATTTCTTAACAATTTATAATGGTTAAAACCGTTGCTAAAATTTTTTTTAAGAAGAATTCACAATATACCACAAGATAAGAAGAATTCGTCATATGGTATTCACGCCCAACTTTCAGAAGAATTCACAATATACCACAAGATAACTGGAATTCGTCATATGGTATTCACGCCACCTGGGTTGCCACGTAGGATTTGTTTGTCACTTTGTACGCCAATATGGGCGTCTTGTTGGATGCTTAGATTGAAACTATAAGTTGTTCTAACTTTTAGGAATCAAGATGGATGTCACTTTAGAACATTCCTCTTATCGTATTATTTTTTTTGTTTCTAAAATGATTAAAAAATTATTTTAAAATAGATTATTGATGAATCCTATTACTTAAAATGTGTAATCATGCAAGATTTGGTGATTTCCCTGATGTATCTCCTCCTATGCTTTCCACTTAGATTTTTTTAAGTGCCTGTCATCTATTTTTTTTCAAAATCAAGAATAAGGACTTAGAAAAAAAAAAACGGATCTGTTCCATGGAGTGCAAAAACTTATATGCCCATTTTACGTTTTGTTTCTTTTCGAATATTAACTAGATAAAGGCTAAGATCGCTATTGTCAACTCGGTGTGCATCTGTCAAATTCATTAATGTTGGGCAGCGTTATTGCCAACGTCTTTCATATTCTATTGCTTTGCGCTCTCTATTTTTTCGGTGTCCTAGATTATTTTTTAGTTCTTTTTTCGATTCTGTAGAAAACAAGAGAAATTGAATCAAACTAATCTATTATGTATCTGTTTGATGAAAAAATTAGTCCAGAAAATAGTTATCTGATCGTTTAGATATGAGTGAATGGAGTGATTACCGGATTTGGTTCATTCTATAGGAGTCACTCTTGATTTTCATATCACGTTGCAGCTGGAGTTGAACAATGGAGACCGGCCACTTCAACAAACGAGCAAGTTCTTATTAAAAATTTTCCATTGTGTATAAAGAATAGGTAGATAATATACAGTTGTTAGCCATAAACTTAATTTACCTTATTTTAACAAATCCAACCTGTCAAAAAATTTCTCATTTTAGTCAACTTTGAAGATCCTTCATAGTAGATATTCCAGGATTATTATAAACACAGTGATATGTGTTGTGTAGATGAACTGAAGATTGTCCATGTCAAGTTTCAATTGCAAAGAAAATTAAGTTCGGTGAACAGTTTTGCATCGTTGGGGATGATGCTCTGTTAGGTTCCTGGGACCCTTCAGATCCAATACCAATGTCCTGGTCAGATGACCATACTTGGACTGCTGAAACGGTGAGTAAAAATTAGAATCTTCTATAATAAGAAATATAAAATGAAATAAAACTCCTCTGGTGAAAAGCTTCATTGCCAAATCTTTGAGAGATAAACTCAGTCAATTTAATTTACAGTTGAGTGTGAATCAATTAATATGATTAACTTTAAATCGTGAGTAACATACAGGTCCTGTGTATATGGACAGGATATAATTGCTGGAAAAAGGATCCAATACAAGTTCATATTGAAAGAGAGAAAGGGGGATGTTATTTGGCAGCCAGGGTCAGATAGACTCATGCAAACATGGGAAACTGTTAATGGAATATCAGTCTTTGAGGATTGGGACAGTGCAGGACTTCAGATGATAACAGAGGAACTGCAGCATCAACACTCAAATGAGGAATCCAAGCAGCAGGAAAAGCCATCAAAGAATACAGATCGTAACGATGAGCAATAAGAAGCTGATAGACCCACGCAGATTAACCCCAGGGGAAAGGTTACTTCAATCAAGAATCAGGAAACACAAGTTGATGACTAAAGTCTGTTTGAATTTTGACGGTGTACCATGACTTCGCACCACCAGTTTTGCCAGACGAAGAATCTAATTCAGGTGAAATAGTTTCACGAAGTTAACAAAAACTAAAACAATCTTGAATTCTCTGGGATTTTTTTGTGTGACCAAAATGAATTCTTTGCAAGTCAAAAGCACAATAATAAAACTGGAAACCTCCTTGCCAGTTTCCTCTGTATGAACACATTTTCTTTCTAGTGAACTGATCTTGGTTCATCCTTGTCCATGGATACGACACTATACGAATGTTCTTTGCTACTTCAAATTATATATCATCGCCTAATTTATTTTGGTTTTAAGTAAAAAGTATATTATTTAGTTTTAAATCATGCCAATTTGTGTCTTCATCTGAGACAAAATCGTTTTATTCTGTGCAACCATGAAGATTGTAGTGAATATTTCTTTGTTTATTGTCCATTGTTGTTGCCGTTGTTATGGCTACAACCTCCGTTCCTGCATATAAAATTTAGTCTGTAATGCAAACTACTCTTATTTCTAAATATAAGATCTAATTTGTAGTGTAAATTAAAATCAGGGTAGTATTATTTTTGATAAAAGGAGAGGGAACAAGTCCCTGGAACTCAAGTTGCAAAGCATCCTAATACACGGTTCTTAATCAACCCCTCTGGATAGGCTGGGGCACTATCAAAAGTTGGAAATCATTATAAATCCTTAGACTAGATTTAGCAACTAGCAAGACTATGAGCAACTCTTTTAACCTCTGTCGGTGCACATTGAAACTTGAGTTGCCAATTCCATCACCTATTACATAAATTCTCCTATAACTGACGGCAAATGCAGCTCCCACGCTGTTTCAATACCTTTAAACAGAGAACATTCCTCAGGCTCTCGTGGTTCGCAGATGCCCAAGAAATTGTTAGGGCAACCCATGAGTCCAAATTCAAAGTATCTCGCATTATCCCTCCACATGCAGCTAAACCAGACTATTCCATGACAGCCCCACCCACATGCACATTAATCTTGATCCATTTAACACTGCTTCTATCCACCTTTCTTTCAGATGCAATCTTCCCACATAGTTTTTCACAATCACAGAAATAACAAAACCAGGATCTAAAGTCCCATTTGGGACGAAGTATTGAGAATGAGAGATTGGGATTGAAACTACAATTGAAAAAAAGCATTAGAATAGTATTTAGCATAAGTAATTGCTTGTTATATGGGATTAGGCAAATCCATAAAGGTGAGATTGGGGAATACCACTTCCTCCTATGGTATTCTCCAATCCCACATACATGGTTTTGACTAATCCCATATAATAAGTAATCTCTTAACTCTTTTAATAGATTTTCTCAATTATAATCTCAATTCCGATCTCTTATTTTCAATGCTTCCTACCAAACGTAACCTAAAGGTTTATCAAAAGTTTCATGGTTGATCATTGCACCAATTACTTCATATGGGTGAGCAGCCACCGCATTTACTCCTCCGAACATGGGTGGCAAGCCCAAAAAAAGACTCTAATCCGTTCCACTCCTCTCCGTTTCCAGATTTTTGTTGAAGATTTTACTAAACGGGGAGCTACCAGAGTCCTCAATAAGTGAAAAGGCGCTCCTAAAAGTAAACCCACGATTTTTACTCAAGTTTCATTAGAACTTAAGCTCCTCAAACAATTATCAGCAATTCTGATTCCATGTATGTATTTCTGAGTAAGCATGCCCACCCATAGTCCTTTTTATACCTGAAGCTAGATTCCACGCAATCTTATCTACCCATGCACCATTCACAGCTTCAAGCCTTCTAAAGCCCAACCCTCCTTCATCTTTCAGTCAACACAGCTTAAAACCCAACATGAGTTGTTTCCCCGATCAATCAAATGCCCTGAGGTCTTCCCATCAATTTTGATATTCCCCATAAGAAATAGAGCTGTCTCATTATAGTATTCTAAAAACATGCTCAGAGACAATCGAGCCTTCTCGGATTCAATGCCCATCCAGTATAAACCCTTTGTTCCCAGATTCTCCCCCTTTAATCTTCTTAGCCCTACGATTCAGTCGATCATCTTCCTCTCTTGAAGAAGGGAGCAGAAAGGTTCTCCTATTAGGGACCGGGACAGCCATTGTTTGATCTTTTATGGTCCACTACCTTGTTTTCCTACTTCAGAACCACTGCATCTGTAGAACAAAAACTGGATAAAGAGAAATTTACATATTGATAGAATCAATTCAAATACGGTTGAAGGTGATACGAAAAACAAATTTCTATTTTGCTCTTCAAAATTACTGTCATCATCAATTTGGTAAAATTATTTCTAAGATCAAACTAACTATTAAAGTTTGCTTATCCAATCAACTCAAATCATAACAAAATAAATATATTTTTAATATAATTTTGTATTAATTATTTCAGACACAAATAATATTCTCACACATTATAAAATAGAAAAGTTGGGAAATGAGGCATACAAGTCTCAAGTTATGACACAATTTACTTTGCTGTTCTTTTTCTGAGCTCATGGGAAGAGCATGAAAGAAGGACGCGGAGAGAGATGAAGAGCAGAGAGCTACCTACCAAAGGAAGCACTAAGTTATTAGGAAGCACTAAGTTATTAGGAACCACTCACCATTTCACCAACTGTTGAACCCTCTCTCGGGAGAAAAACTATTCTTCCCTAGTCAATTGCGACTATTACATGTTTTATGGACCATGTAAATTGAATCTTCTTATGGCTAGTCTAGTTTTCATTCAGTGCGATTTTTGGATAGTTTTATCTAATTTTTACTAGTTTTTAATTGGTTTTTTTTAAAATTCAAACAGAGTGAATGTGTATCATGTAATCTAGATCAATTGGTCCATGTGCCCATCTAATTTTAAAAACATGATCTTAGCATTTGACAATTTATTAGTACCAACAGATATTTTATAAAGGTACAATACTTTGCTCTTAAAATTGAGGGGATTATATGCATAAAAAAATAAAATTTAAGGAGACATGAAATTAATAGTTTGGAATTATCTGCATAAAGTTGACAGTTTAGGGGGATTTATTATTGAGTTTTGAGGGTTAATGAAATTATCTGTAAGTTCACGAAAGTTTTATAGTTCCTCTTATCCTTAATATAAAAATTAGTTGACTAATTTGAGTAAACTACAAAAATTAGTTAAGTTATTTATTTGTAATAAATAGGCGTTATCTTTCCTAAAATACATTTGCTAATCATGTGTATTAGCTAGAATTATATTTGATGAAACTTTAATATGTGCAACTACTACAAGGATTGCTTTAAAAAAAATAAATAAATATGAAAGATAAAGTGGATTGAGATTTTATATTGAGGACCAAATTAAATATCAAACTAACTCTTATATTAAGCACCAGAGGTAGTATAATTTAACATGGTTGAGAAAACAGTGAGATTAACACCGAAAATTTATAGAGATTAAAGGAGAGGAAAAGAAAGATGGCACGAAATTCTTAGATGTAAGAATTATATTTTCATTCCTTATCCCCCCCAAAAAAAAGGGAACCACATTTGATGATTTTCATTGAGCTTGAACATACGTAGATACATACATACATAACCACACACCCACGCTCGCACATTCATATCTTTCTACTAATGAGAACAACTGTACACCAAAACAGATGAAGGTAGTAACGATCAACCTTCTGTCCTAAATTACCTTCAGGAGCTGGCATGCTCTTTCAATTGCTGATTACTTGCAATGGGTGAAGAGAGACTAGCTTCAACGTCTAAAGTCTGAAGATTAAGAAAATTATGCATGAATTTGTAACTTGTAAGTACAGCACCAGTTAGTCAATTAGATATCACCTAATACACAGAATTTGTCCCTACAAAGAATACAGACCAGACTGCACATTAAACTACAAAAACCGACCAACTTGAAACAAAACCATTACGTCAGTATCATTTATTTGAGTTCCTTCAAATTCTGTAAATAGATCGCTGTTTTCAAATCAATTAAACCCACGCCATAAACTAAAGGAAACAATCATGGATTACTTCTTTCATTCTTAATGAACTGGAGGACCACAATGCTACCTTAATTTAAGAGCTTGCAAAAGAAACATGATTATTGACAAGAAGGGACTACTTGGACAACACGAACTGACTTTGGTCATTTCCCATTAATGGAGCAGTAGCATAGAAGGCGGCAAAAGGAGTTATTTCTATACAATCATGAGCCTCTGCCGGGAATTTTCAGTGTACATACACCACATGCACGCACCACTTACATCAACTATCAAAAACATCAGAAAGCCCCACCTTAGAAGTACTTTCTCTAGACAATGTGTTTGCTCTTTCCAGTTCACTGGATTCAAGATCGACTGCCTCCCACAGGAAACCATTTTCATGATTAAGAGAGAGCTTGTCAAATTCTTGGCCAACACCTTCACATCGAGGCTTCATATGTGCCACATATTTCTCTGTAATTTCAAGCATGTAGCCCTTTAAATAAATATTGTATCCGAAAGTCATAATCAAACAGGAGCAAAAACTGGAATTAAGAGAATGGGAAATAAAATTCGGCACAATAAATTTGTTAATGCCTGGCACAAACCAAATTTATTCATGAATAAGCATTCACATTGCCATCGGTGCCACAGGCAACAACCTCCATGGTCCGCATTACAGAACAATAATATGTAACTCTTGCACCAATAACTTTTATTTCTTTACCAATAAGTTCTACTTAAATGCCCAAGAACACCGAGTTCACTAGATGCATTATCAAAACAGAACGTAGAGCAACCTTCAATAATTAATAAACGTTGACTCAAATCAACAGATATTCTCAACTTGAACACATTCCCCATAGTGTCAAAAGTCACCAAGGTAAAGAGTGTCCAAAACTGTTTTACACATATATCTGGTGGGAAATGGGCATATTCAAGACGCTCCTCAAATAACCAGGAAATGCTCCTTAGATGTCCTAGCTGCCACTATAACAAACCATATCCCACTGGGTGTGGCAATAATCTCTCACCCATTATCAGTAAAATAACAAATGACAAGAGAAAAAGAATGGGGATCGGGTAACATGAAATACAAATATATTCAATAAGAAATTAATTTAACCTGCTAATCTGTGGAGGGCATTCTCAGCTGCCTGCTGTTGGGCATCCATCTTTGTCCTACCCATTCCGAAACCTATTTTTTCACCAGTGAAAAGTACCTAAACCATGGCGTCAAGCATTAAAACATTTGACTAAAAACACTAAATAAACCTTTTTAACACAAGTTTCAATAAAACAAAAACATAAGAGAAAACCCAAGCTCATTACAGGCTCAAGAGTAATACAATAAAATGGATTTACAAATAAAGGTCATGTCTGCTACATGGAGACTTTAGTTTAAAAGCATTTGAATATTTGGATATAAAATTTAAGAAAAAATCAAGATTCCTGCATTTGATCTTTGATAACAAATATGGAGATTCTTTTCTCATACATATTGAAACAAATTTCTCACGAATAGGACTCAAAAAGTATTTGCGATATGGAGATGTCCACTCACCACCTACAGGTTGAAGAAACAATCGGCCAGTAAATAATATGAAGGCCAAAACATAGACAAAAGTAGTTCCGCTACAAATACTGAGAGTATAGTTCAAATTTGTCAAGGCATGTTACCAGCCACAAAAAATAAGCAGAGCAGGAGACAAGGCCAAGTCAAAAATAAAGTACTAGACGCAACAAAGAATTTCACATCTAATCTGATTCCTAATTAGCAAATATTTTTCTTTTCTTCTTCAGGAACTGGGGACAAAATAAATATTACTCGAGAAGCTATGAAGATAACACAGAAGTTACATATTTAACAGTTGCAGACAATTCACAACAAATGCTTAATGATAAACCAAGTCTACTGAAATTAAACAAAGTGAATGAAGCAACTATGCAGGCAAAACAAAAATTGAAAGGAATTATTTCATTACATGATATGAAGTATGATGCACATTAATCTTCATAATGTGATCAAATTCAGCAGTTTAAACAACTAATAATAAATTAATCCATAATGATATCTTGAACTCGTTACTTAAAGCCAAGAAAATTGTAATATGACTATGCTAACAAATGAAGTGGATAAAATCACCACAGGACTTTCACAAACCTCTACTGAAAACTGCCAGTCTTTGCTGGTGCTAACAATGGATCTAAATTCAACCTGCAAAAAGAAACACATGATGAATCAGGAAAATCAAAAGCAAAAAGTAACCTATTCACATGCTGAAATCACGTGTACCTTAGAGCTACAATGCCTTCCAATTTCTTGTAGCACTCTTATAGATAGAGAAGGTAAGAAGTTCAACCTTCCAGCTTCACTTTGAATTTCTTTGCCATTAGAAGATAAATGATTCTGACATGCAGCATCCCCTGCAAAAAGATTATAACATCACCCGGATGTATTGCTATTAAGTCTTTTAAAATCAAGATTGTCTAAAATAAAACATTGAAATTAGATTATTATTACTATTGTTGTTGTTGTTGTTGTTGAAAAAAGGGTATAAATTACGAGAGGGCCAAAGGATTTGAGATTAAAAAACAGGACACTTGTCACAATAACCTTGTATCAAATCAAATAAAAAACAATGAAACTGGAATCATTCTAGAACCCAAAGATAATCTCAAATAAACCTACTATAAATTTTCTTACTTGCAACTAAACATGGACCCTGGCCATTCTAACCAAACTAGGATGCATAAACATGTGCCGAAAACAAAATTAAAAGTAAAGGAAAAGGGAAAAAGAAAAAAGGGCAAAGTACATGCCCAATATATAAAGGCTAGGTTTATGTACAGCAGACAAGTTACCAACTCAAAGGATGATGAGCGAAGCAAACTCACTAGACAACATAAACTCAAACCAGAATCACAAGTTTATGGACAACTGCACAACAGAAGCCGCAGGAATTTTACATGTTGAGTTTGCTGCCACAAATTTACTTAAAATCAAGAGTTCAACAATCTTGGTGACACATTCATCTTTGCAGTTGTTATTAGTCGGACCTGTTTTATATAACTCAACAGAATAAAAACAATGTTGAAACACACTAGCTGCAATTTTTTTAAGGAAGACTAGTAGGGAAAGCATAGGGAGGAAAGAGTATAATGGGATGACAAAAGGAGAAGATAGTAAGTACATCAGAATGTGTTAAGATGAATACAAAAGCAATACCTGCTGGCTGACAAGGAGATTGAAGAAGATTATGTCTCTGTGAATCACGTACAGAACTTGGCTGCATATGAGCAACATTCTATTAGAGGATTTTGAGGTAATCCAAGAAGCATCCAAAACTCTAAAAGGGGAGCAACCCTGTTCAATGGCAAACCTCTCCATTTCTTAGTGATGATTGTGAGGGCAAATTAGCATCTGGCAGAGTAGGAGAAAAGAACTTCTCTTGAGCTTGATACTCGTCAGACTTGGCTATTTTAGATTCTTTAACAGACACAAAAGGAGGATCATTTCCTTGACCTCTTCTACACATATGGTCCTCCCCAAGTCCTGTTTTTGGCTGCATTGGTGATGGCAGTGCTTCATTGAGTGGCCTTGAAATGAGGGGAGATTCACCAGAGCATTGATTTTTTGTATTCAGGTCACGCCTCAGGGTCAAAAGTCCTCTTTTCATGTCATTATCACAATCGACAGAGAACCCATCATGCCTGACTGGAGGTCCAAGTAATCCAGGCTCTGAGAAAAGATTGGGAAATAGATGATAATAGATTGAATATTTTCAAAACCGGAAACAGACACATTAACAACATAAGAAGTTCAATACTCAAAGAAGGAGACAGGTTTCTTGAAGATCCAGGGAAAATAGTATTCGAAATAACTCCAGCAGTTGGTCCAGATCTTTCAGCGTTGGACATAACATTTTTGGCCTTAGACCCAGTATCTGAGCCAACAGAAGCCCTTTCATCCTGAAAAGAACCACACAGAAATCTGTCAGCAAATGGGTCCAAACACTCACACTCATGCCAAAGGAGAACAAGTTATCCCCTACAAGACATTCGCAGAAGAAGCTTCTCAGAAAGTTGTGGCACATGCTGTTAAATCAGAGACAAAGACCATACATGGAAAAACATGGAAACTTACATACTCCTTTAACCTGCGTTCAACTTCTGCTGCATATATTCCTTCACTAATGGGACCAACACAACTATTGTTTGGCACAAAACCAGCCTCCTGCCATTGAGTGAGTATCAACATTAGAGCAATGGATAAACAAGCACTCTGCACCAGCCACAGATGATGCTACATAACAATAAATTGTTCGCTATCATCAATGAACTACAAATCACATTATATTCCAAGCAACTACCTCAGCCATCAAGTAGTTGCTCACATCCACAGGGTGCGGTAAAGTTTCAACATCATCTTCATAGAACACTTCAGCAATTCTCTGTAACAGCTTCTCATCAAATTCTCTGACCACAGTACATGACGAATTATAGCCACTGGGTGAAAGGAAATAACTTGAGCATATCAACACTTGAGTTTGTAACTTACTTGAAGAAATAGCCTCTGACATTGCATGCAACATTTCTTGCTACACATAGGACTGGAACAGTATTGGCTCTCTGATAAATCAATACAGAAAGTGTTGGTAATTCTCTTCAAAAGACAAAAAGTCACAAAAATGTATACTTGTGTGGGTGATAATAAACATAAACCCATACCTCTGCCAGAGGTGCATAATAAGGAGTAAATGCGGGAACTACATGAACCCTGGGCTGGTCCCTGTCTTCCCAAACCTTTGACCGGTCATCTATCACCATTGCCATTCTTGGATGGCCCATACTATTCTGGAAGACATCCTGCAAAGATTTTCTGGAGCCTGCAAATATCCCCATAAAAATCAACAGATTTCATTATTATACGTAATTTTTGGCATCACCTCAAAACAAGTGCATGAAGAAGAGACAGAGGAATAAAATATGAACCACGACAGCAAGAAAAAAGTGAGTGTCATAAAAATAAGTGACACGACATAGTGATGCAAATTAGGTCGAAATATGAACCCACCTGTTAAACGACCAGCACAAATGGCAAAAAGCCAAATATGTTTATAAGAACCAAAAAAGTGCTGAAACACTATCGCAGCAAATTAAATGCCACTTCTTGATTGCAAGAAGTAGCTTCATAATGTCTGAATACACCAAGAATTATGAAGATCCAAATAGACATTGTATAGCAAACATGCCTGACTTGACACAAATCACACGATCAAGAAGTTGCTTTGAATTTATAAGATGTGCTTCAGGGTCAAGAAGCCTCCACATTTCCAAGGCATAATCCCTTTCAGCCATGGTACAGACATATACTTCAAATCTCTTGCGTCCATTTGCTGTTAAATAGGATTTTAAATCCTCCCAGGCAGGTCGTAACCTCACAAGCACGCTGGTATCGCAAATCTATGCACAAACACAATAGGAATACTACAAATATCAAAAACCTTGTGCATCATAAAGCTTCCAAACAACTATATCAATTTTCTCACAATATGCTTCGATAAATTCCTATAGACAAGCTGAAAACCAAGTTTTACATTTATATATCTGGTTTACCCTGCAGAGAGGGAGGAAAACTAAACTAATTGAAATAACCCCAAAAAAAGTTTAAAAATAGCATTCTACACAAATATACGGTTATTTTTATATTACAAGGAAAGGACAACAACAAAAGAACCCTTGCAGCATGAACCAATAAAGAATACTGAATGCCCAGAAGGAGAAGGGGAGATCAATCAACAAGGGAATTAAGATGCTTACGTTTCCATTTTTAGGCAGTGAAACTAATAAACTCACATAAGCTTTGTTAGAAAATCAACGACAATTGTGAAGTACATGAGATCGGTCGTGTAGCCCATTAAATACTGCTCTATTTGGCTCTAGCTTGCTTAATCTTTAATTTTAACGCTTTCCTGATTAATTCCTCAGTATCAGAATTCCCTTTCTTTCGCGAATCAGAAATTACGAGTCTCAGGACATCGAGCTGCATGGTCAATCATTGCTCATCTCAGGCTTGATCTCTCCATGGGCATTTCCTAATCACTACGAAGAAAGTCCACGAACTTACGCTAGTTGGTCATAAATGATAATTAAAATAAATTTCAATTAAATTATAACCTCGGGATTGATGCGAGTGAGAATGATATCCCTTTCTTGCAATCTAATGACAGGACGAACAACTTTCCCATGGCTATCAGACAATTGTGGGACCTCCTCCCATTGAACCTTGAAAATCTTGCCATTATCGACAACGCAGTCATTTTCTGCGTACTGCTTCAATAGCTTACGGTCGTCCATGTAACGTTTAAGTTCAGTTGACATCCCTGAAATTCGCAGGGGATCAGTCTCACAGGCCAGCCAACCTCGCAGAGTCTCAATTCTATCTTCAAATGATTTCATGGTGTTAGCAACAATAAGGGTTTCGTCCAAATCAAACACAATCGCAAGGCACCGCAGGTTTAGCATCCTTAAGCATGCAGCGTATAGACCCGCAGGAACAGAGTAGCACCAGAAGCACGGGAACTTTTTCCTCCTACTGGGCATGGCCACCAAGTGAACTTCTTCATCCCCAACCAATGTCACTGCCGTCTGTGTTCCCAAATCAAAAAGAACAAGTGCATGCCAAAAATTAGAAACTCAGCTGAACAGGTTTTCTTCAAGGCAATAGTTTAAAAAGAACCAGTTCATGTCTGAGATGCCGAGAGTCAAAATTAAGTTTCAGTTTATAAACTTTTTTTCCCATAAACAATCAAACTACACCATTGAAAGAAAGGCCAAAGATTGAAAATAAAAATAAAAAGAAGATAAAATTAAATGCATTTTGGACGAGACCTGCAATTCATAAAAGCAAGAAGCATGAAGATTGATCAAATCGGGCTGTTCAACAGGTAGTGATGACTCGAGCTTGCATCGAACTGAGAATGCAGAAATAGTTTGGAGAACTGAAAGAGGATGACATCGCTCACTCCTCGGCGATAAGTGGTGGATGCGTATCTCGTTTGGGAGGTGGAAATTCTGGTCTGAAACAGGGATAACATCCAACTCTCCCAATCTCAATTCACCGAGAAAAAACACAGATTTGAACCCCAATCGACTCATCAAAACTAATTTGCAAGAATCAAAACAATTTTCAGTTGCCTCTAACCAGGCTTCTTTCCTTGCTCCCTCGCTCCCTCCCTCGACGTTCAGTTTTAAACGACCGTGCTCGCTCCGTATTTATAGGCAATAAGGGAATCACCACGTGGATTTCATGAAATTACCAAAGTGCCCGTCTGTGGCACGCGCGAAGCCCCCCTCTCCGAGAGAAGGGTACCATCAATAAGCGGGAACGATCTTCGTACACGTGGCACATCTTGCACCGTTTCTTAATGTTACAGGATATTCAGGTCCCACCCACACTTGCGTCTCAGTTTGAACAAAGTCTACATGATCATGTTTTTTCCGCAGCGGCTGTTTGCTTCACTCCCAAAAATATGTATTTTTATACAAATTGAGGTGAATTTTTTTTTATATGCTCACTTCGTAAATATCATGAAATTACTTTTAAAATTATGGGTTAGTTTTAGCCCTAACACACTATATATTGAGAGTTATCAATAAGAAATCAGATTCCATATCTGACCATCATATAATTAAATTAATTTATTTAGCATACAACTAACATAGGACACAAAATATATATAATAATACATTACTTATAGGTGGCCCAAAAGAATACATTACTTATATTTGACATGTGTTAAACAATGTACTCTTCCGGTCCTTAATATATGACCCAATTCTTGAGTTGGTTTTGGTCCTAAATATAAGACTCATTTCCCATATTTATCAATTTTCTCTAAACTACCCTTATAGATACTCTCTCACCCATAATCAAGTAGAAGAGGGAGAGAGGGTATTAAGAAAGATGATTATGGTATTTTGGGAAAAATGTGTCACTTTTCTTATAATTAACTAACCTACCTAACTTCCTTAATCTAATCAAATTAGTTAAATGAGTCTTATATTAAGGACCGGAGGAGTATGACCATAGAATCCACAATAAAACAAAAAAGACATGTTTAAAAATGTGTTCAGATGATGAAAACACCAAGGAAAAAAAAAAGATTGGTGACAAGTGATACACAATAAAAAATATAAAGCTTGCTTAGGTGGTGAAATTACGGGGGGAAATATGTTAAAAATAAATTAACAATGAGCTGATCAAACCCATATGCCCAACCAAAAACTCAAATCAGCTTGGTATTTATATGTGGGCTGCTTGTTTATGCTGCAACCCAGTCCAACGAGGACTTATTTTAGTGGGCTGGGCCGATCATGCAGGCCCAATAGGTTAATACACCAGTGAGCATCATCTAATATCCTAGTCTAGTAACTAACATGGGTTTAGCCTAGCGGAAGGAGCTAGTCTCTCACAACGTGACGAACCAATGTTCGAATATCCACTAGAAGAGGTACTCATATCTAGTACTTGACAGTGTTTTGAATTAGATTGTTTTCAATAGAAGAACATCTATACTTTAGCAAACAAAAAAAAATCCTAGTCTAGTTTAATTACGAATTGGGGTTATTGTAGTTGGGGGGAGGTTAATTTGCAAAAAACAGTTATAACTTACCCCTTTTTAAAAAGAAGACACGTGTCATGCTTTCCGGAACTAAAGTGGTATCAGGTACACTCAGCTTCACAGTAGTAATTTATAGCGTGTCGCTCTATTAGTCGCTTATTGTACGATAATTTACTTGGTTGCCGTCTATTGATCATGGAAAGTGAGTGGGATCGGTGTGGAACCTTAGCAGACTTGGCCGCTAGATCCTCGTGGACCCTTAAACTCGGATTGTAACGCCATCTCACCAGATTCTTCTCCAAGGGCGAGTCAATCATTTTGCTTGTACGGTCCGCATCGTTAGTCTGGCCATTCCATGTCATCCTTTGGCAGTCCCAACCGGCCGTTCGACGGCGACGGCCTTGGCGTCGACGGCTATGATGTTCGGCTCCAATCTCAGCGCTTTGAAACTCTCTCCAACTTCGATGCTGACTCAGTGAAGGATTCGGCCGGCGACTCGTCTCCGGTTTTCGGAAGCCATCAGTCATACAGTGAAGGAGATTATGTGTTTTCGTCTCAGCCGGTTCCGGAGACTCCATCCCCGTCGTCCATACGCTCTAACGCGAGGGAAGACACTGCGTTCTCGCCGGAGCATGATGGGAAGGGTCTTGAGGGAGAATATGGTGCCACCGGTGGTCCGGTCTTGCCACCTCCGGTGGATTTGGAACCAGAAGAAGGCTTTGCTCTAAGGGAATGGCGAAGGTAAACTCTACTGGCCATAATCGCTGTTTTCTGCTTTTCGGTTTTCTTCAAGGTTTTAAGTTTATAGAATGTTAGGTTTAATTGAATTGCTGCCTGTCTGCGTCTGAAGTTTTTGCATATGTTGATGATGATCATGAATGTGTGAGTGAGCAGACAGAACGCTATTCAACTGGAAGAGAAGGAGAAGAAGGAGAAAGAGATGCGGAGACAGATTATAGAAGAAGCAGAGGCGTACAAAATTGAGTTTTACAGGAAGCGCGAGCTGAATGTCGAGAATAAGAAAGCGTCCAATAGGGAAAAAGAGAAGGTAAATCAAATTGTGATGTTTTCTATGTATAAGACCAAGTTCTCTGTTTTCCTCCCTGTTGCTGTTAAGGTTGATATTTATAATAGTTCTTGCAACATTTCTGTATCATGTTCTACCCCATCTTAGCTTGTAAATTGTAATAATAGAGGGCGAGGAATTGAATGGAATCTTCTTTTCAGATAGAAGTATTCAGAGTTCACGTGGGAGAGGTCTTATAAAGACGACATAGAAGACCCTATTTATAAATTATAGTGATAAATTGCTCTTTTTGTCCATTCCAATATTCCATTACGGAATTCCAACCGGAATTACGAACAGGACGAAAGTAATAGAGGCAGATTTGTTTCCCTCCTTATTTGCGCTGGAGCTTTTGCAGTTGAAGGTCCCATAGCGGTTAAGAGGGGCTTCCTGGCCAGAATGGGGCGAATTAGGTGGTTAAGGAGTATGGTAGATTACAAATTAGGCTGTAGAACTCTTGGTAGACTAGATTGTGTGCAGGAAACTAAGAAGTTCAATTTAGGAACGCAAATAGGATGTTACGTTTAAATTTTTAATTTTTGAGTATGAACATAAATCTTCTGGTAAAAAAAGAAAAAAAAGAATATGAACATAAATCCAAGATGGTCTTACTTTTAGGTTTTGGTCTCGTTAATAATAATTATGTTTTGGTATAATCAGCTTGGATAAGATTGAGACTTCACAAATATGCACACTTTTTAAATTCATCATGTTAAATTTTCAGTTTTATGATGGCATCTTTGTATCACGGAACGGTCTTGTGCAGCCATAGCTGCTGTCAATGATTGTAAAGTTTCCCGTCCCCTAATAAGAGGTCACTTAGCATATTTCTTTTGAATGTTATACCAGTGCCTGAAATTATGTACTGGATTTAATCTAGCAGTTATTTTTGGAAAGCCACAAGAAGTTTCAGGCGGAAGCTGAGAAAAACTATTGGAAAGCAATCGGTGAACTTATTCCCAATGAAGTGCCGACAATAGAGAAAAGAGGGAAAAAAGATAAAGAGAAGAAGCCTTCCATTGTTGTAATCCAGGGGCCGAAACCTGGGAAGCCAACTGACCTTTCAAGAATGCGACATATACTGCTAAAGCTCAAGCATAATCCTCCTCTTCACATGAAGCCTAAGCCACCTCCATCATCTGAACCAAAAAAGGACGCTAATACCGGGCCCACTGACGGGGTTAGCACAAGTACTTCTACCCCCAAGCCGCCAGCGGTGGCAACTCAGGAGCCGGTTGCTGCAGCTTGAAGGGCCGCTATTTTCTCCTTTTCCATGTGAAAACCAGCTTCTGTGAACATCATAACTTAGTCGCATGGTGGTATTATATGTACAAAGTATCTTTACTTTAAAGTTGCAGGTTGCTTGATGTAGCTTTATGCAGCCCATTGTCAGAAAATAGTTTTAGGCTGTGATCCGTTGCTGTGGCCTGCAAACAGGCATATTATTAATGCCGCTGTTTTGGCGTTGGTTGAAATTGGGATAGTGTCTTGATAAGGAGTTAAACTCGGAATCATCTTGTTTATTTGCGACCCAGATTATGCTAAACCTATTTATGGGCTTGACGTAGCATGGTATGGTTTGCCGGTTGTCTGCACACAGGTCAATTAAGGCTATCATTGGTCATTAGCGTGCAAATGAATTGAATATTATGTATTATACAAAAAGTGTATATGTACACAGGCCAACTGGAAATTGTACTCCTTATTCGTTTCCCATGCTCTCATCGACCCCTTCGGATTGAAAGAACTCTGGTGTACTAATACAAATGATCCTATGAGCAGGAAAAAATAAAGGAGAGTAATAAAGTAAAATATTTACAGGCTACATGCAATGTTGCCCACCCAACATCCTTCAATATGAAGCAAACAATCAATTACCTAGGAAGAATCTGTGTATCCAAATCAGCACCACTATAATGGCTTGATGTCATGTAGGGATTTTTGGAACTTCTGTACTTGTTTATTTGAGAAGACGATGTCTGATTTAACGAATAATTGCCATACTCTTTCGAGCTATTCCATCTATAAACTCCAGGTTCGGTCAGTGCCTTCTCATTCAAATGCACATCCTTGGTGAGCATTTTTATTACTTGCTTCATGGTGGGCCTGTGTTGTGCGGATGCTTGGGTACAGAACAGAGCAACCTTAATGAAACGCAACACCTGCGTCTCATCGTATGCAGTTAGTTCGGGATCTACAATATCCAGAAGCCTGCCTTCTTCTCTCAGCTTCCAAGCCTGCTCATAAAAGCATATTCGAGTGAGCAGACACAGATATATAGTTGCTTCCAATCTGACTAGAATAATATTGCAGCTTTTCATTGCATTCACAGTCATATGTTTCTTTATTACAACAACGACCTCAGTAAATTATTTATTAAAAGATCTTGATTAATGACTTCTTGAAGTGTCCTTTTGGTCTTTTTCAACATCTTTTCACAGGGCTAAAGATTATCTACCCACCTCTCCTCAATGGCACCCCCTTTCTTCGCACATTATCAAATCATTTTAATCGATTTTCTACTATTTTTTCCCACATGGATGCCACATCGACTTACCCTCTTGTATGATCAGTCATATGTTCTTTTTTACCAAAGGAAAAAAAAAATCATTTCTCTCGCCTCAATCATATGCTTTTGAAGTCCATTGTGTAAAAGAAGCCTCAAAATTTAAATCTCCAACTGTAATAGATGTCCTGTCAGATTAACAAAGTCTTATCTACCAAGTTCTTTTAAACTCAATGGCAAACCAATGAGGGAACAGCACATATCTTCCAAAAGAGCACCAATGACAACAGTTTACAGTGCCTTTTGGTTGGAAAGCAATGTAATCAAAAGAGATAAACACATCATTCTTCAAATTTTACTAAATCTTCACAAGGTATGAGTTTGGACATTGAGCGTTCAGTATCTAAAATCAAAATTGCTGTTCTTTAACAATTGAACAGACATGCTGACAACGGCTTATTTTAGTCATTGATATCAGTAATATAGCAGTCATATTGACAGTTAGATACAGCAGAGTCACTTTGACATTCATATATTAACAATCTCCCCAGTATATTTGAAGTCCGAGAGACATAAAGTGATGCTAAATCCAGCTGAGGAACCAGTAGATGAGTCAGATATCAGATCAAGCTTCTTGTTCTTGAAGACTAAAAAGCAATGAAATGGGAAAAAACTGAATAGTCATTTGTTGTAACATTGCATGCACAGAAAAAAGCAATATTGTTACCAGAACCCCCCCCCCCCAAAAAATTTTTTTTTTTTTTTTTTCAAGAGCTGTCTTTTGAAGTAGTTGGCAATCCAGCATGGTTCTAGGCTGTCAAGATCTAGATTTAAATCTTAAAATCTTGTGATCTCAATCCTAGGGGAATAAAAATATAAATCTTCTTCAAATTAATAGGATATTAAGTTAAATCTCATGAAATTATGGGCGTAAAATTCTATATATATAATTTGTTTATGCAAGTTACAGGTAACTCGGGCAGCATAACACTTATTTGTGATAGCTGACTCGAGTACATGTATAATTTATACTCATTTAATTATATTTCATTTTCATTTCATTGCTTTGATCTTTTAAATCCATGATCGATCCTAGCAAAGATCTTCATCTTGACAACCTTGGAAAACCTAGCAAAACTTCATATAGACTGTGACTTTATTTCTCTTATTATGTCTGTGTCTCTGATCATTAGAAAAGCTATGACAAAATCCTAGCATGTGTTAGCTAATTGATACTTGAGTTTAGAAAGATACCCATTCCACTAGAACCAAGAGATTATCTCCAAATGCGGCTTTACTGCTACTTTTACCACTGATTATTTCAAGCATGAGAATCCCGAAACTGTACACATCAGCCTTCTTTGTAAGTTGTCCTAGAAGTGCATATTCTGGCGCTAGATATCCCCTGCAAATAACGGAGAAAAAAGGGTAAACATGGTTCATATGTTGAGACCAAATCTAGTTAACTGCCAAGAACCCATTCTGTAACAATATTGACGAATTTGTAGTACTAGGGCAAGGCTGAAGGCAGTTTGTAATCTTTGGTCTTTCAACTTCACAGGTGCTAATTTAGCCTCAAGGAGGCTATAAATAGTTACTTGAAATCAGAAACTTCTTTTGTTTCTCCATTATCCTTCTATCCTTCGCTTACTCAAACATTGCATTTCAACAAATATTAACACGTAATAATTTACGTGGTAATAATATGCGATGAAAAACTAAATGACTCATCAAAAAGATAGTAACAATCGAAATAGCAAATATAAGTGCATGCCAAGAACACCAATCCAATGGCCACCTCATGCCACATGAGTGAGAGGAATAGATTTTAAGGCAGTATAGGTCTTCGTATTGTCCAGAGAAAATTCACAAGAAACACCAAATTTTGAGCCCCTTGTATTTTTTTTTTTTCAATTAACAATAGATAATTATATATCATTAGATGCATATTCGAATGGCTTTACAGAAGATTTAAACAAGTAAGAAGAAGAGAAGAAACAGGCTTTCTTAAGAAATTCAAAAGGTGCAACTTAGGCAACAGTCATATAGAACGATATTCATAATGTAATTGTGCATTGTTACTTACACCGTTCCTGCCACTCGAGTACTAACATGAGTGACATCGTCAGGAAAAAGCTTTGCGAGGCCAAAATCCCCTATTTTAGGATTAAAGTTCCCATCAAGCAGTATGTTGCTAGCCTTGATATCTCTGTGAACAATGCTTGGTTGAGCCTCTTCATGAAGAAATTCAAGACCATAAGCTGTACCACAGCAGATAGCAGCCCTCTTTGGCCAATCCAGAGCAACACAATCTGCTCTTGGAACCTATAAAAGGTTTGATGTTTATTAGAGCATCCCAATTCATGGAAAAGCCTACATCGAGCTTTTAATCAATAGCCTTCATCCCTCCAACTCAGAGAGAGTTTTAATGTTAAGCTTGAAAGAATGACAGATTACATCACATTTTGACTATATTCTGTGCTCCGAAAGCCAGAAGTAACCAATACAAAGGAAAATGGAAAAGTGAATCTGATTCAAACAGGTAAGTTCCACTTTGGAAGTACTAAAAATTTCAATAACATGTAAAACAAACTTGTTTCCAAAATCAAAAGGTTGAATATCTATCCAGTTCAGACAAGACTCACTTCCATATACTTAATTGGATTGTTCTGGTACTTACGAAGCAAAGAACTTGCAAGGCTATTGTTTTCCCAAAAACTCATACACCAACAACCGATGGTGGCCCTCAACACAGCAGCCAATAAGTTGCACAAGGTTTGGATGCTGTATCTTTGATATAATTTCAGTTTCTGTCATAAATTCCTTTGTTCCTTGTTTAGACTCTACAGACAGAGACTTGATAGCAACTTGAGTACCATCTCTTAATACACCCTGAAAATATCAATGAGAAGGAACCCAAAAAAAAAAAAAAAAAAAATTACTCAAACTAACAAGAGAATATAGTGATACACTGTACACCACGTTTGAAAGCCAACATAGGCGTTAATACAAGAACAAGAAAATCTCCGATAGTAATCTATCCTACCTTGTAGACAACTCCATAACCTCCTCCACCAATTCTGGTAGATGGATGAAAATCTCCTGTGGCTGATCTCATTGAATTGTAACTAAAAGTTTTAGTTGCAATCACTGTCATCACAAAGCCCAAAAAACACACATAAAAAGTTGCAGAAGGCTGAATTTTTGAAATAGGGAACATCAATGAAGAAAGGCATAAATGTATTTGTGGGTAGAACACAATCCAACTAACAAATGTATCAGTAGACATTAGACGAAGTCAAGTATCAACGGGCACAGAGATGCCTGCATAGCTCCCACTCAATTCGCGGACTGATTGAATGAGAGACAATATAAATATAATGATAGCAA